TATTAAAAAAATACCCAAGTGTGCCCTCTCTGTGACTTGAACCCTGGACCCTGAAGTTAATAATTAAAACAAAAACCAGCCCATCTAATATTAAACATTTTAATATTGTTGCTCGTTATATTTACTTGAACACCACTCTCCACACTATATTGCTACTGTAACACTACTTTCCATCTAATATTAAACATTTTAAATGAGTCCTCCCCATCACTTACTGTCTCCTATGTTCAAAACTGAAGTTTAGTTTGCATGACATTAAGAAAATGTAAGGAAAACCTGTCTGTGTTGTTACATTGGAAGATGTAATCCAATTTTACAGCAGAAAACAACGTTTTTTAGGGGTCTGCAGGACTCAAGCCGCTTCTAGCAAACCATCATAGTGCTTTGTTTATAAAGACCTCTGTAGGAGTGGATTTTCGATGTGGGGTGTTCACAAAAGGCAAGCCTACAGAGAAATCCATATTTATATTTTTAATGTTGGTGTATATATTAAAAGCGTATAGCCGCGCGGCTATACCCTTTAATATGTATCTCTCTTTTTGAATCACTTTGATTAGTAGTTAGGCTTTACTTAGTGAATATTAAAGGAAAAAAAGAAAAAAGAAACAAGAAAGATTGAATTACTATTTATTAAGTAACATAATTCATGAAGTTAATTAAATATTTTAATACTAATTATTCACTAAATAAATAATAATTAAAATTCAACAATCGAGATTAAAAATATGTAACCAATCCTTAACATAAAATATTTATTGAAGAATTTTCTTAATTGACCATTGCAAACCATTTGCAACAATGATGCTTATGCAATAATGATGCTTAACATACACAAATCATACATTTATGAATAATGTTACTCTTACCACATTCTCATACTACCTTATGTGTCAGATGAGGTGGACAATCACATCAATTAAAATTAATTTAACATTTTCTTTCCTTTTATAATTTATTGAACCTTTTTAATTGATGTGACTATCCACATCATCTGTCACATGAGGTGACATGAGAATGTAGTAAGAGCAAGGTATTAAATGTCGATATTATCGGCGATATTATCCCGATAATATCGGATTTTTGGGGGGCCGATATTTTCTCAACAAACCATGGTGTTATCGTCAATATATTAATATTTTTATCGATACTATCCTGATAATATCGGAGACGATAATTTTAACATTTTTATGAATGATTTGGGCAATATATCGCGATATTATCGATAATATCGCGATACGAAACCCAAAAATATTTATATACATGGTTTTTGTGAAAACCATTTTACTCCTTCAACCCCTTAACCACCATATCACTTATGTATTTGTGAAAATATGCTAAAATATTTATATATATACATGGTTTTGTTTTGAATTCTTTTTGCAAGAAATAAATTTTCACATGAGATGAGAATGAATCTTTGACCATTCCTTTTCAAGTTTCTACTTTTGAACAACTCACCACGTTTCAACATTGTTTATGGACAACGTCTAATAACTCCAAATGATTTTGCTTATGGACAACGTCAACCAATCTCGGATCCATATGGGTGGCATGTTAACAATTACATGCAAAACTATTTTGGGGATTTATCATTTGATGACTACTCTTCAAAATATACTTACTCTACACATAGAGATGATGAAGATAGTGAAAATTTTGAACCTCATAGGAACTCTATGTGGTACTAAGTCACTCATGTATCTTACCATGCAATGTATAAAGTGTAAAATATTGTAGTAATTCATTATATATAAATGATTATGGTGTGTTTAATCTTCTTTCATTAATTACTACATATTTTCTACACTTACAGTGTTTGCCAGCTCGCTATATAATCAACTTAAATCAGTTAAATCCATCATGCAATGCATTTCCTTCCAATTTTTTTGTGATAAACTAATAGATAATTGACTAAATAAACATCCTGCAAAGTTTCAATAAAAATTTCCAAGTTTTTCTTACAATTTCCGTGGTTTTTATTCAATTTTTATCGATACCGATAATATCCCGATATTTCCATCGACATTTCCGTGTTTTTGGACTTCCGATATTTCCGATACCATCGATATTTTAGACCTTGAGTAAGAGTAACATTACTCTACATTTTTATTGGTTGGTTAATTTGAAAATTATTCGGTTAGTGTTTTTGAGGAAGCAAGAGTGCCTCTCTAATCCAACAAAACATTTTATAAAACTATTTTAGCAAAACACAAAAACCAAAAAAGAAAATGAAAAAGTGTTTTTCGTTAGCTTGTGTCACTCTAACCCACACCAAAAGTAACAATTCTGATAATCTTTTTCAAGTAAAGAATGTGATTTGCAGAAAACGATAAATCGACCTAGCAAGTATGTTTCATATGAAAAAATAAATACATATAGTAATTGAAATTGAAAGAAGAGAAAAGAGTTAACCAAGGTGGTTGGTGTGAGTGGTTCGGCACTCTCATTCCTTAAGAGAGGTCAGGGGTTCGATCCCTGCTCTTGTACGGAGTCACCACTTTGGCCAGCACTTTACCCCTTACGGGCCGACCCGGTGTGAGCGGGGATTAGTCTGGGTTGTGGTTAAGGCTTAAAGGTGTCACCCATAGTTGGGGCCCTTCCAGAACCACCTCGTGGTTCAGACCAAAAAAGAAGAGAAAAGAGTTATTTGGTTTTATGTAGGCTGTACTCCAAAACAATCTGGGCTTACAACGGGCGCTGCTATAATGAGGAGTATGGTGGGTGAGGGGGTTAAGTGAGGGATCTAATCCAACTATTTATAAGGAGTGCTGCTATTTCCACCCACCTGTCCTATTTTCCCACCCACCTTATCTTTAAACTTTTAAAGACAAATTTAACCCTATTGTAAAATGACTTAAAAGGACTTAAGGAAAAAGAAAGAGAAAAAAAGAAAAAGAAAAAAGAAAAAGACGTAGACTTCTCAAGTACGTAACCCTATCGTTTGACAAAAAGAAAAAAAAACACAAGAATACGACTCCTTGCTCATGAGAAGGTGAAGAAGGCTTTTCAGTGCTCAGAACTCTATTCATTCAATCAAATTGTTTATGAAGAAGAAAACAACAAGAGAATGGATGTTGAAGAGAATGATTTTGGCGAAAAGGTAAGGTAATCCTATTTGAACAGAATTTCTAAGATCTTTAGGATTACTTAAAGCATTGGGAGATGAGTATTTCTTGGACTCTGATTTTTTTTTTCTTAAACAAATTAAAAATTTGAAAACCTGGGGATGAATCAACAATTCTACGATTTGGGCTCTTTACCCACCTTATTGTTAGGTCAATACTTAAACAATTTCTTCACCTTCTCATGCCTTAAAAAATCCTTAGCCAAATTGGTTTTGGCAAGAATGTGGATTTAAGAAGGGCGAGCGAGATAAACAGCTCTGGACCCTTTGACGCAGAGAGAGCTGAGAGGTGAAGGAAGGATGAAGAAGCAAAAGGGTATTTTAATTTTCCAAGTGAGTTTTGAACTCGGTGACAAGATTTCTCTTAATTTTCCAAGCTTTACTGTATTCTATCGTTTTTATTGAAGAACCTATGTTAACTTTTTTCCTAGTGATTTTGATACATTCAAGTATTGACCTAACAATAAGGTGGGTAAAGAGGTTGCTGGGTACGTTCAAAAATTGGGGAGCGTGAGCCAAGTTTTGGTTTCAAGGGCTGGTCATCTTTTGACTGCTGACTAGCCATTGTCATTAAATTTCGTGATGTGAAGTTGCTTCTTTTATCATTTTACTGCTGTATTACTTCTACGATTTGGGCCCTGTTCTAGGGAGATGAATATTCTTACTATTGTTTATTGTTTTCTTTTTTCAGGGAGATGAATATTCTGGTTGCTGGGACGTGGACTTTGAACATATAGTGGATTGTACTAGTGAATTTACCACGAATGAGGTTAGTGTAAACACAAGAATTTAAATTTTCGTGTCTACAGTTAGGTTTGATTGAAATGAGTGTTCCTATGAGTGTCTACATTGGAGGCAACTTGACATGACATTTGCACTTAAAAAGAAAAACTTCGGAGTGTTCCTATGATGCAGAGATGGAGTTATTTCATAGGCGTTGAATGAAGTCTGATGCAACTACACAAATAATTCTTAAAAGGAAACTTATGGAATTAGTAGCACCACAAACTACTTCACTTGTGGAACCATTTGTGAATACCAAGACTCGAGGTAGGCCAAGTAAGAAGATGGATAAATCTACTCGTCGTGATCCATCCTTGTTTGAGGTTGTAGATTCACCTAGGTTGGATGGATGTAGTCTTGGTGGTCTTCCTCCTAAAGTGAGCGCAAAACAAAAGAGGAGACCAAAAGAGAGGGTGGGTTAGCATTTCTTCTTTTGTCTTTAGGAAGGCGAAGTACCCAGGCGAAACGCTGCGTTTCAGTTTTTACGAACAAGTGCCAGGGCCGAGAGAAGGGGCTCCTTCGGCCAACTTATGGCCGTGATTTATCAAGCACAAACAATAATATATTTATATATTTATTATAGCAAGATGATATAATCTTCACGTCTTTAGTAATTTTATAACTAACTATGTACATGTGTGCAGGTGTATCGCACCCCGCTACATAAGCCAGTTGAGTTTGTTGATGCATTTCCACAAGCATTAAGGTCATACATCCATCATGTAAAAGATGTGGTAGCAGATGGACATTGTGGGTACAGAGCTACTGCAGCATTATTAGGTTATGGTGAGGATGGATGGGTACAAGTAAGAGGAGATTTATTGAATGAGCTTGAGACTTATTCAGTTCACTATTCAGCACTTTATGGGTCTGAAAATAGGATCTATGAGCTAAAGCACTCATTAGCGTACTTTGGACCTGATGCAAATTTTGATCGATGGATGACTATGCCTGACATGGGCCATATTATTGCATCATGTTATGATGTTGTACTTGTGCACCTATCTAATGTACAATGTCTAACGTTCTTACCTCTTAGATCAAGACCAGTGCCACTATCAGACTGTAGAGAGATCGCTATCGGATTCATCAATCGTCATTTTGTGCAGGTATTTTATAATCTGAATATAAGTTGTTTATTTCATACATATGTCCTTATATATATTTACACCTTTGTGCAGGTATTCTTGAAGCCAAGTCATCCAATTCCTCCTATAGCAACAAACTGGGACAGATACCGGGAACCATGGACTACAGAATGGGCCACCCCATATATTACTCGCATACAACAATTCATATATATTACAAGGTCTACTGTTATAACTAGAGAAACAATTGCATCTGATGATGATTGAACTTGGCTTTGTACTCTTTGACATTCCCATGTGTTAAGAATGGGTGTTTTATATTTTTTTTATTGCAAAGTTCAATAGATTTCTGGTCCTTGGATAACTTTGGAGAAAAAGTTTATTTACAACAGTGGAAAGCTAAGAGCATAAATATGATTATATTCACAGAATTCATATTTACAAAAATAAAAATAAAAATTACAGCAAAAAACAGTTTCGGTTTGTATAGTAAACACGAGAGACAGAGAAAGAGATAGAAAATAAGATACAGCAAAAATGAGAGAGAGATGCGTGGGCCGTCAGAG